AGATAAAACAAGAGCTGATGTCAAGGTGAGTCAAGTCTACAACAAAATTTCATTATGCTTTTACAATGATCAAGAGAAGTCTGTAACATCACTTGAAATGATATACGTGATAAATCAGCTATATTATGTTGAAGCTAGCAGTAAAAATATTTGAAAAAAAAATTGCTGTCCAGTATGGTTTTTGTAATTTTGGTGACAAAATAAACTTGTATCTAGAATTATTAAAGTCAGATTTGATTCTGGTCTAATTTGTTCATTTTAAATTTTGCTTTCATTTATCTATAAAATATAAATTGTATATGTTTTCAGTAAGCATTTGAAACTCATCCCCTCATTTATTAGATACTAGAAAATGTATGACAATCAATGATCAGCCCCATATTTATGCCCCTAATGTGCTAACATTTGTAATCTTCTCCTGCAGGGTGGTACATTAATAGAGTATGAAGGAAAACTAAGACTGCTGGAATATGCACAAGTCCCATCAGATCATGTAAGTCTTGCCCTAGTCTGGAGATAAGTCTACCCACTAGGGTGTTGGAGAACAGTAAGCCTTGTATTTCTTGTTAGATTGATTTGAAATGTTACTTAACTGAGATAACAAAAAAACTTACAAATTTTTTTTACTTGCCAGGTCGATGAGTTTAAAAGTGTCAGTAAATTCAAGTAAGTTTGATTATTTCATCAATACATTCATACAATAGTTAATGCAGTCATTCTAGAATAAGACTTTTTATATGCAGATTGTTTCTCCCTCTGAAATATACTTTTTTCCAAGAATTACTTACAGTATCTTTGTATGTGTCTTGTAGGATATTCAATACCAACAATTTGTGGATCAGTTTGGATGCTATCAAAAGAAATGTTGAAGAAGAGACCTTACACATGGAGATCATTGTCAATCCTAAGGTTGGAAACTGTTATACTTGCCTTTTATTTATTTTTGAATTCCATTATCAATGAGAGCTCCTGTATGTCTTCTTTAACTCTAGCGATCCAGAATTATTTTCCATGTTTTGATGGAATTACCTATTTGTCATGCTGTTTAACTTCAATAACTTTTTTTTCTTTATCAGAAAATGTTAAATTTAGTTTAGAATTGAAGGGATATGCATGTGTGTTATACATGTTTAGAATGTTCCTTCAGATTCTGAAGCACAAACCTCCCACAGGGAGACATGGGATGGCAGCAGGAAGGGTTCCAACCTGGGACCATTGAGCATAATATGTGACCATAGCCATGTTTGTAGGAACAAATGTGGTTTTAAGTTTGAATTTTGAAATTAAAAATGTAAACTCACCCAGATTCAAACACATAGTAATTGATAAAAAACAAATGGTTAAACTATGCAAAGATTAGGTTTTAAACAACTGTAAGCAAATACGTGAGAGAAAACAACAAAAAAATGCTTTTTAAAGCATTAGCAATGGCATCGTCAATCCATGGAGAAATGGCCGTTTAGAATGGACAATAAGAGCATCGTTCTGGGAGAAAGATGTTTTAAAAATGTATTTTTTTTAGTATAGTCATTGTGTATGTTTTGAACAATTTTTTTTTTTTTCTATTTTAAGGTAATAATTATTTTAAAACTAAATAAAATTAAAAGACTGAAACATTAGTCGGTATGTTATAAAAGTGAATATGTTTTCATTTGATTAATATTCTAAGTACACACAAACAAGTGAAAGAGATTACTTTGTGACTTTCAGACTTTAGACAATGGTATGAATGTCATCCAGCTAGAGACTGCAGTTGGTGCTGCTATCAAAAGTTTTGACAGAGCTGTAGGTCAGTACATGTTGGAATCTGTGTTTTATCAAACTGGTTTTCCAGGTTATGTTGATACGAGTTTAAGTGCATTGTCTACTGCAAAGTTCTCAAATTTAGGGGTCAGTAGAGGGTTACATTTGTGTAGTTTTGTGAGATACAAGCTTTAATTTATTTTCTAGAAAAAGTTGTGTGTGGTGGGGTGGGAGCTAGTGCTTTTAGTCCTAGTTCCATATGCAGTTAGCTTCTAAATATAATAGTATTTCTTTTATCTTTAAATAAACTGTTTTTTGTTAGCAATTTTAATTGTTTGCTGATCTTTTTGTAACACACATCTATCTGATGTCACATAAGAAAATTTGATGTACAAACAAACAATATGTGATAACTGAGATATACACCACTTTGCTGAGAGTAATATTCTAAATGAAAACAAAAATGTAATTTTTATACCAAATTTTGAGATAGATCTGTTGACTTGCAGATAATTTATTATGATAAGATTTGTTTTTAATAGTGTTACACACTTTCTGGACTACATATTACAAGTGATGGCCTTTCCTACTTTAAAATAAAGTCATATTTGTCAAAGTTATCAGTGCAAAGAACAGTGACTTTAAGCTCATAACATTTATTTCATGTGTACATGTAGTAACATTTGTAGCATTGTTCAATTTCAGTAACAGTTCGTTATTCAACTCTCTTTATTATAAGTGTTTGATTAACTTACAACTTTACAAAAGCCTAAATGGACTGTCTCCTGTTGCAGGCATCAATGTGCCACGTAGTCGCTTCTTGCCAGTCAAGACAACATCAGATCTGTTAATAGTGATGAGCAACTTGTATGCTATGAGGACAGGATCCCTAGAGATGTCTCCGAAAAGATCATTTCCCAGTGTGCCATTGGTGAAATTAGGTCATCAGTTCTCTAAGGTATGTGTCTCAATCTTGTCACTCATTTGGTCCACTAGATAGGTTAGTGTTAGCTACTTTTAAACTTTGAAATAAGTGCTAATCTAGGTAAACTTTACAAAAAAAAAGTGTATTTAGTCTTCTCAATGAAAGCCAAAGTTACCAAAACAGTTTTGAGGCTGGGGGGAGATTGCTGACAATACAATAATTGACTTTGTTTCTTAATTGTTTGGGGATATGAGCTATTGGATGAGACCTTAGTTATACAGGAATCACTCTCTTTGTTTATCCTAAAGAATGTCTGTTCAGCTAACCTTTTCCTCAAATTGTTTTAGGCAGTCATGTCTTTATTGTTTTAAGGTAAAAGACTTCTTAAATCGATTTGCAAGCATCCCAGACCTGCTGGAACTTGACCATCTGACAGTGGCTGGTGATGTCAACTTTGGCAAGAATGTTAGTCTGAGGGTAAGGTGACAGTTTGGACTTATATAAACTTTTTTTAAACTCTCAATTAAACTCAGTTCAGCTGTGGTTGATACTATTTCTTGTATACAATTATAAGCATATGTATTTTTATTTTGTAAAAAAGTCTCATAATGTTGTAGATTAACAATAACACATGCATGCTGTCAAAGTAGACATTTTATAAAACAATGTATGAGGTTTACATTTAAAGATATGTAGCTCATTGATTGCTTAGCTGAAATACCACATTAGAATACATTTAGTAAAATGCAAACTTTGCCAGAAATCATTCTTTATTAGGAATTATCTAACAGTTATAGAACAATAACTGCCAAACTTCAAATTTCTAGCAAAATAATTCATTCTAAAATCATGCTATTAAACAAAACCAATTCTTCAAGGGGCAAACATTGGTTCAGAGTCAAGATAGGGTTGTTTCAGGTCATACTTTTTGATGTAATCTTCACATGTAATGTTTTAGTGAAACTGTGATATGAACTCTAAATATTTTATAGGCTATTTTATAAATATTTGTTAGTCTAATGTACAGTTCAAAGACTATGTTCCTCAAAGATAATAAAGACATATAATTATATGAACTGGTACAAATATCTGAAAGTCATTGTAAACAAGAAGCTTTCTTGGGAAGACCATCTTAAAACTCTTATTTTTCCTGTACAAACTTAACAGCTTTAAACTACAAAAGAAAATCTAGGCTAATTTTTACTGTGCAACAATGCAAAATCTGCTAGCATATGCAATAAATTGTTGGCAAGGCAAAGTTTCATCTAAACTGTTGCACTGATTAGACAATCTTATAAAAAGAGCATTAAAAAAACACACGCACAACACTACTATATTTCAATGAACTTTTTAAGCAAAAATGTATCAAGTCAGAAAAATCTTAGAAGACATTCGCCAACCATTCCATTATAACTACGTCGCTAAATGGGGGACTAGAACCGAACAATACAAAAACTCATTTGTTCCCTACTCTGTCAGACTGTGTCAGCGCTGCTCGTTGACTGGGAACATGAAAAGAATCAAGACTTCTCTGTATGTTTTGTCTGTTCTATTGATGTGAATCTTGTTTATGTTGTTTTGATTTGAGGAAAGAGCCCTTGTAATCACAACAAATTTTCAATACGGATCAATAAAGCAGTCTTAGTCTTAGCAAACAGACCAGTATTTTAAACTTTTAATGTGTATCCCAAAAAAATATTTTAAAACTTTTTTTTTTTGTCTTTAGGGCACTGTCATTATAATTGCTAATCATGGAGAGAAAATTGACATTCCAATGGGCTCTATACTGGAGAACAAGATTGTATCTGGCAATTTGAGGATATTGGATCATTAGCAGCCTGTTGACATCAAGTTACTTACACTATTACTGTCACTGTTGATCACTAGTACCACAACACAGGGAACTCAATTCTCTTTGTCCCATTCAAGTTGCAGTATTATAGGGTATTTATTATTATCACAAAGGGGTTGAACATAGTAGCTGTATCAAATTTGTTAATAACATAGCATAGTAGCTGAAGTTGTTAATAGCATAATTCAATTACTTCATCTTTAATCAGACTAAATAAAACTGGAAAGAGTTTTACGAAATTGCTGCCATTTTATTTCTGTTGATGATTGGACCTTGGTAGCTGTGAGTGAATGTACTAGGGGTATGTGTGTGTATTAGATAAAGTGTTAATTTGGTATTTGTGTGTGTGTTATCTTAGATTGAATGAAAGTATTGTTCATCAACTGTATATGTTTTAAGTGAAGAACTTTCAGGTGCTAGTTGGATGCCTGGGATAGTCATGTATGTTCACATCAGTCTTGTTACTTGTTACTTGTGGCTTGGCTTGTCCAATAAATAAAAAGACAAGCAAGTTGAACAGATTCAAGATGTATCACTCAAACTGTTGATGTTTTAGTTTGTCTGAAAGTCACTTTCCTTCTGTTAGCAGACAGCTGTGAAATACTTTCAGCTGAATTGGAATATTACCAAGAAATGTTATCAAGAATTGTGTATCTTTTGCTACTTTGGTGACTTTTATTTTGGCTACTGTGTATTTCTATCTTGTTTCTTCAACACATAGACTTATCACTGTTGAGAACATGTAGCCATGTTCATTATAATATAAACAATAAAGCCTTCAACTAGTGGTTCTCTTGGCCCCTAAATATTATTCTCCAGCAAGTCTACATAGTATACATTTCTGATAAAATATTAAGAACCTTTAATTTAAACTGTGTACCTGTATGATAGAATTAATATCTACCATCTGCTTGTGATTTCAATTGGTAGTGTCCATTCACATTTGGGTGTACAGATAGAAATATATGTATATATAGAGTTTATTATACTTAACAAATATATACTGGTAGTTCTATTTTTTCATCTCTCTCTTTTGTTCATATACCTTTATGTACAGCTGGGAATGTTTAACATGGGAACTAACTACTTGGGATACTAAGGGAAGCCTGACAGTAGTGTTAAGAGTGTCACTTTATTTAATTAGTATAAATTCAGTCATTAAAAAAAAAATGGAACAAAACTTGTTTTGTCCTTTTTTTTTCCCCCTCAAAACTATTTGGATCTTATTGAAATCTTTGTTCAAACAGTTAAAAGAATTTTTTCTATGACTTCTCTAATAATATTGTTCTAATTGACACAGGAAACATAATTCTGAACAATTCTCCCTGCATCCTTAGCTGTCTGGATTGAACTCTAGTTATTTACCCCTGTTTTTTTTTTAATATACTTGTTTTTCTCAGCTTTACAGGTTTTAAAAAAACATTTATATCATGTTTTTACAGACTTTTTTTCTTTTATTTCTTAATGGTAATATAATAATTGTGATACGTTTTATTAACCATGGGAAGTTATTGTCTTGTGATTTATGATAAATTAATATACTTGTCTACTCTTGGGTTGTTTTTTTTTATTTATATAGAAATGAGTTTGTACATTCTATTTGTTGATTGCTTTCAAGAAATAAATGCATGTTCTTTCATAAACGGATTACTTAGAGGGTGTAATAACAATGATTTACTTGTATATTCCTTGTATTGTACCCCCCCCCCCCCCCCCATTCAATGGACAAGTGGCTTCCCAGGTCTATCATCATTAATCATTTCATATAATAAAGCATATTTTAACAAGAAAAAAAATAAGACTTCTAGTTTTTTTTGTTTATAACTGCATTCAGCAATAATACACAAGTAAAGCACCAAAAAATCCAGTGTAAAAATTTTAATGTAAATATCACATGAAGCAAGAATCACTGAAACATGAAGAATGAGTCAGTCACACTAGCTATTGTAACATGACATTCTACTGAGTAGCAGTTTCATAGTTTTGTTTCAAAATGTACTGTCCACATGTTCATTGACTGTGTTTATAGAGGAACAATTGGGTCTACCGTTTTTTGTTTTTTTCACAATGAAGTCACCAATTCATTTCTTCCTAGTGTTTTTTATAGCAGAGTAGAACTTAACTGTATCAAATACCAGTAGTTTCTGATTTTAAAGCAATGGAACTAGACTGAATAGAGACAAGACATTTTTGTTTTTATTTAAAAACTTAAGAAAATATTTGTATTGTGTTGTAAAGTAGAAACACACGTTCACATTTAGTTTATTTGATTTTCTAACCAAATAAATAGGCGAAGACAATTTTTTAAATCTAGGAATGGAGTCAATTTAGTGATGGTATTACAATGTCAGTGGAATAAAATACAACCATCAGTTCTGCATATTACATTATTTTATAAACAAAACAGGTCAACAACAATTTTGGATCTGGATACACTTTTAGGAATGCTTGACATTTTTGTAACCCTCACATTGGAGAACATTCTGAACTGTAGAATTTGTTAACAAACTAAGAAAAAAGGCATTTATGTAAAAAAGTGTAATTTAAAATTCAAGCCCTCACATCAATACTGTGCATATACAAAACTCAACACTCTAGCAAATAGCAAAGAACATAGAGCTTTAAATATTTTTCTTTTCTGAAATACTGAATTGTACGATTGGATCAGGTGAATGATTCAATCAGGAGCAGAAACAAGAAGTTTCCAAGGTTTTCAATACATCACATCATAGTAGTAGCCTATAGATTCTGTTTCGTTTGTCCTACTTGAGAGAGATGCCATTAAACTGAATACAGTATCTTTGTTTCAAGAATTTGTGCTACTGATAGACATAATACATTATAATAACAAGACAATCTTTGAATTGAACAAAACAAGCAAGACATTGGAGGGGAAAAATACCATTTCATATTTACAATTCCATTGGACAGAACCATTTGAAATAAATACTGACATCCAATGAGAATTCACACTTATTAAACTCCCCTAGCCAATCAAATGAAACTCTACAAGAATCCCTCAAGAAATACTTAATGGCTATCAAAATTTTCAGAGAACTGAAGGACATCCCACTTCCAATGATACTTCTGCCATGGCTAATCAACTTATATGTTTCTTTGAAATCATATTTAATTGTCAAAATATTGTGAACCATAAATTTGACTTGTTTGATTCCTTGCACTTGATGAGCCAAATCAATTTTGTCTTTCACACACGGAATCCATTTAAAACTCACATTTTGACATCTTCAGCAAGATTTTGAAGGAAATTTCTAATTGGCAACAAAAAAATGCTTTCTATTATTAGATAAAAATAAAATGACCAAACTTTCTGCACATAGGCACAAATAACCTCAATAAATTAAAACTGTATACAATAAGGAATAAGCTACGTTGAGAAAAACAAAAATCTGTGTGAATTATTGGTCAAGTCCCCTTATATAGATTCTACCTACAATGGTAGTTTCCACAACATTGGTCAATCGGTTATAAATGAACTAAGTTCACATATTGCACTTGAAACAAGAAAATATACAACAATTGCCATAAGTAAAAACCTATTGGAACAGCAAGCATCTTTGAGTCAAAGCACTTTTGGTACTTAGAAGTACTTTTTTTTTGTTTTGCTTGACAGCTTGTTTTGTAGATCAAATTATGCCATGCCAGAGATTAAGTGTTGAACTGTGTTAGATCAAATTATTGCAAAATACATCCATCAGTACAAGTTGCCTACTGGGAGTGTGGGTGCAACAAAGCATATTACAATTAGCTCAGGATTTTAAGTGACATGGTAGCCTAACAAGATCATGCTTGACTGTTAGGTTCTGGGTTTGAGTCTAGGATTTTTACTTCAGCATTGATATCTAAGGGTCAAGCTAACTGAATAACCAGGAACCCTTAGAGGAAAATGATAGTTGATAAAGTCCATACTGGCCATATAATCGAGTGAAAGTCACAGAAATAAGTGGACTGGCCTCCTGTCCAAATAATTGTATAGAGACCTAAATGGGTTGACAGAAAATTATCCACTCCTAGGAAGCATAATGAGGTTGATTTAATTGAGGTCTGGCTGTGCATGCCATAAAACTACTGACCATGAAGACAAAGAAGCACATATGAACATGATTCTGCATGCTAGTATCCAACATGTAATGAGTAGCCTTAATATGAACAACACAGCATTATGTTATGTGATGGCGGTGTGACTGTGATGTGAAGATGCTGTCACTCAATCCAGCAGTTGCCCAGTCAAACTCCTCTTGCTGCCTAATCCTTTCTTCCTGTCATGTATGAGGCTGCTAATGAAAGATGTCACCTGACATCCCAGACTGCGTTCGTGCTGGTCACAAGGTTCTCCAGTCCTTTGAGCGTGTTGAAACTTCCAGAGTAGAAGGTCAAGTCAGATATCACAAGCCTGGGGGAGGGAGAAAGAATCCAATAATAACAACAATAAAACCCTGTCTTGAGCTACACTTCATAACACTTTTATAGAACCAAATAATTGCAAACAAATGTCAACCAAGCAAAGAACAGGAGAGCATTCTACTTGGCAAGCACAAATACATTTATTGTTTATAAACATACATATTTTATATTATATTATCATTAAACTCTGAGTGTGGGCCTGAGAATCCAATCTTCTCTTGCAAAAGCTCTTAACAGCAACCCTGTATAATGCATGCATGTCACTTATACAGGTCAAGAAACTTCTTCCCAGAGAAGGAAATCAGAAAGTCTAGAGCAGTCAAAAAGAATATGTGACAGTTTCCTCTTCATCCCTACAAAGAAGGCATCATGGGTCAAAAGTTTGGCCTGAACCATTTGAAATATAAAATAACTGGACAGTGGCTTGTCCTGCACTATGCTAAAATAGTTTGATCAGGGCTGGGAAACCACAACAGGGAAGGGTGGTTAGGGTGCCTTATGTGCTTCACAACACCACTGGGTTTTTGGAGCTTGTCCCTTTATTTTCATTGCTATCGATTGGATTGTTGCTAGAGTAGGATAAGCTATTAATAGAGTTAACATTTTGATGTGCAGTTGATATTGAAGAAAGACTAACTACTCAGTAAATATGAGATATAAAAAAAAATGTGACTATTTTAATGTAGCATGATGTAAAAAAGAGTTGGCAGTAAGATATAAGAGACCACCATAAGTTGCGCCCTGAGAACTAGTCAACTTTATTCAACATAAATGGGGTTTTATCTTAGTAGTGCTCCTGAATGTTAGGAGAAAAGAAGACACAGTGTATGTACTTGGTTTGGAAATGGTATCAAATTTTCTATTTGTGATTTTTAGGTCCCTAATTATCATCCAGGTTTGATGGATACCTGACCTTGGTTGGGAAATAAAAAGGTGCTTGCTTATTAATGACATCTTTATAATTCACTATCCACAAAAACAGATTTCTAGGCCAAATAAAAAGTTATATCTATTGTGACCTTATAAGTAAAGTAAAGTTCCCCTTTCAGACCTTGCGATCTATGGGGCAGATGATGTAAACGTCATCTGTTTCTGTGGCCCACGGTTAACGAGGGTGTCATGCACAATGACCAACCACCTTTACTTTTCCCCAACTAATGTCAGGTACCCATTAGAGCTGGGTGGAGAGGTGCCCTAAATATATCCTGAAAGTAAAACTCCCAAGCTTCACCAAGATTTCAACCAGGGACCTTCAGTTCGGAATACAAGTGCTTTACCACTCAGCCATTGAGCCTCCTAATGACCTCATGCACTGTAATAAATCAATCCAGTCTATCCTACTAGGTAAAAAAGTGATAGGGTACTTACCCACATTGTGGTCCACCATCGTTGGTCACTTTTAATGCAGCTAGCCGCTTGCCAAGAAGGTGCATGAAAGACTGGTTGATCCTTTGAAATAATTCCTGAAAGTATGAAATCATATTGCAACATTAGTGTTAATGTCTTTCTACAAGCTGAGTTATCCTATGAGCTAGGTGTATCCATTAGTTTCCTTCTATGTACTCACTCTAATCTGAGATAAAGGCAATGTCCCGACTAAAGCTTCATGAAGCTTGGCCAGTTGTTTACATATAGTTCTAAAACATTGGGAAGGCATTGGGGCTTTCACTTCATACTGGAATAAAGACCAAAAAAAAAATGAAATCTTCTAGTCATTTGGAGCTTAGGTTAGAATGGAATGAGTTGCTATTGCTCCTTATAAATAGTCTAAAAAGAAAATGGTCTAGCAAGAAAAAGAGTGGCAAGCAAACCTTAGTTAGCTGTGATTCAGTCATATTCTCAGAGATGCTGATTAACTTCAGGTTGATTTCTTCAATGTGGTCATCATAATCCTAGGAACAAACAGGATGGTTTAGAACTTTTTTTGCACTTCAGGTGTTTTTTGCATTTTGTTTTAGCTTTGCTGCAGTGTTTATGTAAAAAGCATAATCATAAATAATAAGAATATTCATAATTATATTCAGATTCTTAGTATAAATCATAAATATTCTTAGCAGTGTCTCTTGAGGAATTTTCTGATGATCAAGTAGTCCCGCTGCAGTACTGTCCTAACAAGAATTTTCTCATGTGACAGATAGATAGATAGTGATACTGAAATGTTTACATTATTGCAAATTTTTTTTTAAAGGCTTATTGCTAAACACTTTTAAAAATTTACTTTAATTAGTTTGAAAAAAAAATAGTGTGATTTTTGCAATTCTTGATTTAATGATTTAACTACATGGTAAAACATCAAAATTTTAAGATTCCATTATTAAAGTTGTTGTTATTATTGTTGTTATTAGGAAAGCATCTTAGAAATTCATACCAAGAAAGGTGGATAAACATATATATATATATAACTTTTAATTTTAGTGGGTAAATAACTTATGAATAAAGAAAATAAAATAGTCTAATCAAGATAGGTGTCTCTTCTAACTATCTTCTGATCTGTGCTCAGGTATCTGGCCTTTGTTGTTTTTTCCCTTTATATTCTCTTGACTTTATTTCAAGGTGACTAGCCAATTATCATTTTTAAGTAACAGAATCATATTAAGTTCAGCATACCTTGGTGATTTTCCTGAAATTTTTGAGCATGTTGCTATTTTTAGCAGGTAGAGTTTGTTCAAAGTGTTCCTTAACTTGTGGTATAAAAAAGACAACAAGCTGCAGACATCTTGAAGCCAACGCTAGGTTCTTAGTGGAAATAGTTTTAAGCCCCACCAGTTGTCTGGCTCCTGCTCCTATCAGTAGCTGACAAGTGCGGGAATTGAACATCTGAAATTTTAAAATTTCCATTCACATAAAAAAGAGGTGAGGAAGCTTATCAATGTTATTTTATTTTTACGTTTTATTTTAATAACACATGACACACAAAATTAAAAAATATTACAAATCTTGTCATTATAAAAATTGTGTATTGTGATAGTATCTAGCAAGACAGACCTGAAATCCAATGTTTGTTAACTAGATCCACTTATTTTGCATCAGATTAATAAACTTAGAACAGTTGGTTACCCATTATAAGAAAACAGGCAAATACACTTATCAAATGGTGTTACTAAATATGTTGATAGCTCAATGTCATTCTTACCTTCAATAAATCTATAAGCCTAGTAAGGAGATCTGGGGTAGCAGAAGGGATGTCAACAACACACTGACAGTATTCTACCATCATTTTGACCAACATCAACACAGTGCTGGAACAGTCATTTAATTATAAGTCAAACAGATATAACACATGACAGTAAACTAGCAGAGTCATAAGTCTTGAGAAACCAATAGCTCTTCTATCATAACATTCAAAGTCATTCATGGTATAGAAATCA